TACCAGTAGAAAGAACAACAAACAAACAACAACAAAACACCAGTCTCCACGGAATCCACGCCAACTCACATCGACCCCACAGGTGTCAGAGTAAAGCTAAGGTCTAGGGTTTTCTGTGGCTATTTTGTTTTTTAAGTACCCCAAGGTAAACTTGAACCTCCAACCTTTCAGTTAACAGAGGAGCATGTTAGTGGTTTCCACTGCCCAGGGGCTTTGTGACCTAGAGGCTGGTCTTTGAATCAGAAGACAGACAAGATGAACCAACCAGGAGTTTAGAAACCAAGGGTGTGGGTGTGGGGAGGAGAAAGAAAGGGAGGGAAGGAAGCAGTTATGTAGGGAGGGGGCTGCCAGGGCTCCCAGTTTCACCCTCATAAGCTCTCCCAGGAGGTTTTATTACATTTACAAAAAGTTTTCCTGCTTAGCCAGGAAAGTTCTACCTGGGCTGTCTCCCTTCTCTCCTATTCCTCTCCGCATCCACTGGCCTTCCTTGGTCCTCAGGTCCCCAGGCCTGTATGTCAGCAGTTCCTTCAGCCTGAAATGCGCCCCCCCCTCCCATCCTCTCATAGCTGGCTGCTGCTTGTCTGTTTAAATGTCACATGCTCAGAGTGGCCTCCCCAGTCTGCTCATCTGAAAGAGCTGTGTCCTCCCTCACCCCGTCCCCCGACTCCTCCTGTGCAGCAGCGCCCCCTTAGAGTCTCAACTTCGCACTTATCACAATCTGTTGTGCTGTTGCTTTATTTGTTTATTGGCTGTCTCACTCTAGGCAAAGGAGCCCTAGAGACATGGTGGGCTCTGCATGGTGCTGCGAGGTCAGCGGTTTGCCCCACCAGCTGCTCCCGGGGAGAAAGAGGAGGCTTTCTGTTCCTGTGAAGATTCACAGGCTTGCAACCCCAAAGTGGCTAGTCTCCTCATCCTATAGGGTCCTGTGCATCAGAACTGACTCGAGGACAGTTGGTTTGGTTTGGGGTGTTCACTCCACCCAACAAGAACCTAACGTCTAGGAGAGAAGGGGTGCTCTCTTCTTCTCTGCTGTAGCACCGGAGCTTCACAGGCTATGTTCAGTGAGTGCTTGTTAAATGCCCAGGAAGATGGAAGGGCGGATCGCTGGGTGGACAGACCCAGGTCTGTCAGAGAGAGGCACGTGTGGACTCCTCTTCACCTGCGCAGGTGGCAGAGGGTCCGCCCACAACTGCCTGACTCACCAGGAGGCTCACAGTGGGGTTCTTTTTAAGCTGGGCCCAAGAGCACCCTGCCTGGGACCCTGGGACCTGGAGTGCTAGGGGCCAGGTTCTAGCCGGTCACTCCTCTTCTACCGACAGAGAACAGAGGCTTGGGTAGCACCTCTGGGACAGGGCTGACTAGGGAACTAAGAACTCCCAACTCCTGGGATTTGACCTTAGCTCTGGAAGTTAGGCAGAGTTGAAGGACGCCGCATCCGCTCCCTGCAGCATCCTGCTCAGGGTCCGGCAACAAAAGCTGGGCATCTACTGAAGCCAGTGGGGAGAAGGCCCAGAGAGGGGGCTTGGGCATTGTAGAAAAGAGGGTGTCTTCCCTTCTGTCCTACAACTCATCAGCCAGGAAGGGAGTTTCTGGCTTGGCCTAAACGCTAACTCTTCTAGGGAAAAGCTCTGTCCCTGGCCCGGACGAGCACCTGGTCTGATTGAGAGGAGAGACAGGTGATACCAGAGGCAGATGAAAGTGCTGCAGGGGCTTGCTTCACCGAGGGAAGGGTCAGGGAAGGCTCTTCAGAGGAGGCGGAGCTCGAGTTGCATCTTCCCTACAAATGAGAAGATGAGTCAGCTTGGTGGTTCCCGGAGTCCAGGCACCCCAGCAGAGGGAGGAGTGTGATAGTGAGCCCGGCCCACGGGAAGGTACGTGGAAGCAAGGGAGGGAGGGAGGATGGCTTACGATTGGGGTTATCGTGGCGAGGGGCAGGAGCTGAGGCTGTAGGAATGGGCAGGGCCCATGAGTTATACCGGAGCACATGGGTCTGATGTGGAGCAGATCGGATGGGCTCATTTGAGGAATTCATCCTGATGGAGGCGGGAAGGGCACAGCATTCTCAACTCGAGGGTGATGAGCTCATGAACCACAACAGTGGGGGGAAGGGATGCTGCTTTACTGAAACTTCATTAACGATCTCAGTAGGAGTTGAAGATGTAGGGAATGGAAATGAGGGCAGTCCTACTCCCCTTTCCTGACCTTCTAGCCTGATTGGGAGTCCCTAGGTGACTTGCAATCAGTATGCATTGATAAATATTGGTGATAGGCATGCAAACA